AATCTGACGCCTGCTGTACATTTGGAGTCTGCGTCTCTCTCCCCGGGTCTCTTCGGTTTTTCCCTCCAACACTCAGAAACATGCGTTTTAAAGTATTTGGCTGATATAAATCTCCACGTGATGATAGGGTTTAGTAACTGCAGCTACATACTATTAACATTCCTTCCCTTTGTTAATGCTACCCCTATCCCCTCCCTTTGATGCTGCTAATCCTGCATAATGCACGGGCATAATATGACTTTGAAACCCCCCGCCCACCTCCTACGCATTTCACAAGTAGTACTAATCACATACCTGCATTTCCCATAAATATGCCAAATTCCTCTTGATATGCAAATTATTTTGTCAAGGCGCTCTTCCCCCCTCCAACCCAGCTTAAATATACGCTGCCAAGCCTGGTGGTGCTCATTCAGACGCTGTCTTTACGACAGACCTGTTCTTCACCTGAGAACAGGTCTTATCAGACTCTGTCTTCTCGACAGACCTGTTCTTCACCTGAGGACGGCTGCTTGCGTTGTGGCCGAAACGTCGTGAGAATTATTTTATTATGTTTTTTTTAATTATTTCCCTTCTACGTGACTTTACCGAAAGAACCAAGAAGATGAATCCCTGCAGTCACGAAAGCTTTAAATCGAAATAAGCCACTTCGTTGAGCTATCATTTGCGGCCAGGTCGCTTCTGTTTAAAGAGCTACACGGCTCAGTGGGCCTTCCCTAATAAAGAATGAAGGAGTAAAATAGTGTTAATTGTATTTTACCATTCTATCTGGCAACTAAACTGACACCTTTTTTACAAGGAGTCATGTTTGCATAGACCACAATACCTGCAGTCATAATGCAAACAAAAAACATAACTCTGATAATGTATGCACTGTCCTTGAAGTTGATTGGTCCACACCCGAGAGAGCTTTCCTTAGAGCCTAGTCTCACATGGTGTTGGACCAGATGACACCAAAAGGCGCACAACTCAAAGACAACGCACCATCAGAGTATGAGAGCTCGGGGTAAGCATTTACACCATTTGTATCTCATTTGCCAGTAAAAAATATGATAATTGTTTTTTTTACCCTTTTATCTGGCAACAAAACTGACACATTTTTTACAAGGAGTCATGTTTGCATAGACCACAATACCTGCAGTCATAATGCAAACAAAAAACGTAACTCTGATAATGTGTGCACTGTCCTTGAAGTTGATTGGTCCATACCAGAGACAGCTTTCCTTAGAGCCTAGTCTCACATGGTGTTGGACCAGATGACGCCAAAAGGCGCACAACTCAAAGACAACGCACCATCAGAGTATGAGAGCTCGGGGTAAGCATTTACACCATTGGTATCTCATTTGCCAGTAAAACATATGATAATTGTTTTTTACCCTTTTATCTGGCAACAAAACTGACACCTTTTTTACAAGGAGTCATGTTTGCATAGACCACAATACCTGCAGTCATAATGCAAACAAAAAACATAACTCTGATAATGTATGCACTGTCCTTGAAGTTGATTGGTCCACACCCGAGACAGCTTTCCTTAGAGCCTAGTCTCACATGGTGTTGGACCAGATGACACCAAAAGGCGCACAACTCAAAGACAACGCACCATCAGAGTATGAGAGCTCGGGGTAAGCATTTACACCATTTGTATCTCATTTGCCAGTAAAAAATATGATAATTGTTTTTTTTACCCTTTTATCTGGCAACAAAACTGACACCTTTTTTACAAGGAGTCATGTTTGCATAGACCACAATACCTGCAGTCATAATGCAAACAAAAAACGTAACTCTGATAATGTGTGCACTGTCCTTGAAGTTGATTGGTCCACACCCGAGACAGCTTTCCTTAGAGCCTAGTCTCACATGGTGTTGGACCAGATGACACCAAAAGGCGCACAACTCAAAGACAACGCACCATCAGAGTATGAGAGCTCGGGGTAAGCATTTACACCATTTGTATCTCATTTGCCAGTAAAAAATATGATAATTGTTTTTTTTACCCTTTTATCTGGCAACAAAACTGACACCTTTTTTACAAGGAGTCATGTTTGCATAGACCACAATACCTGCAGTCATAATGCAAACAAAAAACGTAACTCTGATAATGTGTGCACTGTCCTTGAAGTTGATTGGTCCACACCCGAGACAGCTTTCCTTAGAGCCTAGTCTCACATGGTGTTGGACCAGATGACACCAAAAGGCGCACAACTCAAAGACAACGCACCATCAGAGTATGAGAGCTCATAAAAAAGGTGTCAGTTTTGTTGCCAGATAAAAGGGTAAAAAACCAATTATCATATTTTTTACTGGCAAATGAGGTTCCCATTGTGTAAATGCTTACCCCGAGCTCTCATACTCTGATGGTGCATTGTCTTTGAGTTGTGCGCCTTTTGGCGTCATCTGGTCCAACACCATGTTAGACTAGGCTCTAAGGAAAGCTGTCTCGGGTGTGGACCAATCAACTTCAAGGACAGTGCATACATTATCAGAGTTGTGTTTTTTGTTTGCATTACGACTGCAGGTATTGTGGTCTATGCAAACATGACTCCTTGTAAAAAAAGGTGTCAGTTTTGTTGCCAGATAAAAGGGTAAAAAACCAATTATCATATTTTTTACTGCCAAATGAGGTTCCAATGGAGTAAAATAGTGTCACTGTGTAGGGGTTCCACAAGGTTGGGGGTGTAGCGCAGAGTGACCGAGAGGTTAGGGTATGGCATCGAAGTGTGGGTGACTAGGTGGGGTATGGTGCACGGAGTTTAATTGCAGCGTGGTAAGGTGTGGAACACGTGTGTGTGGTGTGTGTGCACGTGTGTGTGGATCGGTGGTGCAGCGGTTAGCGCTACGCTGCGCTACGAACCCGACAACTCGAGTTCGATCGCCGCTCGCTATCAACACCGGTGACGATTATCTGAACCGGCCTGGGCCTTCCCTAGGTGGACTCAGCCTCAAATGAGTGCGTAGAAACATCGCCACTGGGGAGACAAAGGCGGCCGGGCGTGGTGCTGGCCACCCACCCCCCTTTTGTGTGCCACAGTGCCGGCCTTCATAGGTGCTGCTCGCTAACAGCACTTGCCCCAACAGTCTGTTACAGGCTGTACGGGGGTCTTTGTCTTTTGTGCCATTGTTCTTCGTGTAGACAATGGCAAACTGCCTTCTGTTGAATTTCGATTTAAAGCTTTCGTGACTGCAGGGATTCATCTTCTTGGTTTTTTTGGTAAAGTCACGTAGAAGGGAAATAATAAAATAATAAAAATAAAAATAATCAAATAATTCTCACGACGTTTCGGCCACAACGCAAGCAGCCGTCCTCAGGTGAAGAACAGGTCTGTCGGAAAGACAGCATCTGAATGACAGAACTGTTCTTCATAATAAAATACAATTCTCACGACGTTTCGGCCACAACGCAAGCAGCCGTCCTCAGGTGACGCTGTCTCCCCGACAGACCTGTTTCTTCACCTGAGGGACGGCTGCTTGCGTTGTGGCCGAAACGTCGTGAGAATTATTTTATTATGTTTTATTTTTATTATTTTATTACTTCCCTTCTACGTGACTTTACCGAAAGAACCAAGAAGATGCCTTCTGTTGAGTTTTTATTTTCAGGTCCATTGCTCATGCAGTGGTGGGCCCAAGTGCTGTCTGAGCTTATACCGGGTGGAGTTTGGGGTGCGGGGGACACCTTCATTTGTGTGCCTGTGGGCCATTGGTCCTGTCTCCAAAACAAGAATCATACATTTGCATGTGTATACGTGTGTCTATGTGTCTGTGTGTGTGTCTTGTGCCGCCCTCCAACAACAACGGAGGGCGGAGGAGCGACGCTCACAACAACGAGCGGAGCGCATGGTGGTTAAAGCACAGCAAGTTGGTACAGTAGGGGGCACAGGTGGTGCATCAGCCAGTCATCTCGGTCATCTCGGTCTGTCGACCCGTGGCAACTGGGTCTGCCCCGTGACCTCCTGCCAGCGGGTGTTCGACACTTCACGTGGCCTCAAGGTGCACATGGCCTGGCACAAGCGTCATGGTGACGTCACCGCCACTTAGTGGCGAATGGCGGTTGTTGTTGTTGTGTCTTGTGTGTGGGGAGCGGTGGTGTAGCGGTTAGCGCGCTGCACTATGAACCTGTGCGACGCGGGTTCGATTCCCGCTCACGGCAAACACCAGTGACGATTATCTGAACCGGTCCTGGGTCTCCCCTAGGTCGACTCAGCCTCAAATGAGTACCTGGTGCGGTGTCTAAACATCGCCACTAGGGAGATAAAGGTGGCGCTGGCCACCCACCCCCTCGTGTACCATTCCGGCCTTCATAGGTGCTCGCTAACAGCACTTGCCCCTACAGTCTGTTAAGGCTATATGGGTTTTGATTCCTTACCCATACCCGGCCACACCAGGGTCCCAAACGGGTACCCGTACCCTACCCGATTGCGACCTCTGGGATGAAGCCATGTTGCAGGCGCGGGTGGGTTGATTCTAGGAACTTTAATTGTGAGAAGAGACAAGACGTTGGGAAATGAGTGACAAACGGTGACTCACCAGTGACTCACGGCCTACCCGGACCCGGCCGCACCAGGGTCACAAACGGCTACCCGTACCTGGCCGGGTACGGGTAGCCGGGTATCGGGTAGGGTACGGGTATCGGGTACCCGATTGCGACCTCTGGGATGAAGCCATGTTGCAGGCGCGGGTGGGTTGATTCTAGGAACTTGAATTGTAAGAAGAGACACAAGACGTTGGGAAATGAGTAACAAACAGTTACTCACCAGTGACTCACGGCCTACCCGTACCCGACCGGGTAAGGGTAGCCGGGTATCGGGTAGGGTACGGGTATCGACCCGGTTGCGACCTCTGCTCATCACCTCCCGTTGTATCGCCAGAGAATGTAAAAAAAAAAACCTCTTCTTATTTCCCCCCCCCCCCCATCCTTTGTCTTTGTTTATTACAGCACTTGCCCCCAGCGGCTTGCTAAAGGTCTACCCCGGGGGGACACCTCTGCCTCTCTTGTGTCTCGTTGACAGACGGCGGGGGCGAGGAGGGCAGGCGGCAGGCCGGTCACGCACGCCTCGGCGAGCTGCTGCTTGCGCTCAAGCGCACGCTGGCCCGGCACCCGGCGCTGAGCTTGCGGGAGATACTCACCGCCACCGGCGCCCTCATCACCAGGGTCAAAGGTAACGGTCACCCCTGTAATTAATAAATACATTATATAGTTTATAGAGTACGGTACCGTAAATTGCTCTGTTTTGCTAAATTATCACCATTTTTTAAGACTCCTATACCTTGATCAAATTAAAAATAGTTTAGTTCTAGAATGGGCCTTGATGGGCCTAAATACCTGGTCAAATTAAAAATAGTTTAGTTTTAAAATGGCCCTGATGGGCCTAACTACCTGGTCAAATTAAAAATAGTTTAGTTTTAGAATGGGCCTAAATGAGCCTAAATACCTGGTCATATAAAACATAGTTTAGTTTTAGAATGGGTCCTGATGGGCCTAAATACCTGGTGAAATTAAAAATAGTTTAGTTTTAGAACGGGTTTCAATGAGCCTAAATACCTGGTCATATAAAACATAGTTTAGTTTTTTAGAACGGGCCTCAATGGACCTAAATACCTGGTCAAATTAAAAATAGTTTAGTTCTAGAATGGGCCCTGATGGGGCTAAATACCTGGTCAAATTAAAAGTTGTTTATTTTTATAATGGGTCCTGATGGGCCTAAATACCTGGTCAAATAAAAATAGTTTAGTTTTAGAATGGGTCCTGATGGGCCTAAATACCTGGTCAAATAAAAATAGTTTAGTTTTAGAATGGGCCCTGATGGGCCTAAATACCTGGTCATATAAAACATAGTTTAGTTTTAGAATGGGCCCTGATGGGCCTAAATACCTGGTCAAATTAAAAATAGTTTAGTTCTAGAATGGGCCTCGATGGGCCTAAATTCCTGGTCAAATTAAAAATAGTTTCGTTTTAGAATGGGCCTTAATGTGTCTCTAAATAACTGGTCATATAAAACATAGTTTAGTTTTAGAACGGGCCTTAATGTGTCTCTAAATACCTGGTCAAATTAAAAATAGTTTAGTTTTAGAATGGGCCTCATTGAGCCTCAATACCTGGTCAAAATAAAACATAGTTTAGTTTTAGAATGGGCCTCCATGGGCCTCTAAATACCTGGTCAAATTTAAAATAGTTTAATTTTAGTTCCGACCGGAGCCAGAGCGACGCTCCTCGGATTTGTCCTGCGACGTCCCTCGAGCCAACGGGTTCCTTCGTGGGTGGCGAGGAAGAAGAGGGGGTGGGTGGGGGTGGTGGAAGTGGGGGGGGGGGGGGGGTGGGGGGCAGAGGTGGATGGCTGGGTAAATAATAAACATAGCGAAAATAAAAACGGAAATAAATCTTCTTCTTCTGTTGCTGTGGCTGTTGATGTAGGGTGGCAACAGCAGTTTTTTTTTTAACAACGCGGTGTTCGATGAGCCAGGTGATTGCGTGCAGTGGGTGCATCAGTGTCGCTGCTGAGATGATAATGGGTTTCTGTGTCTGTGTTTGAGTCTATAGGTCTCAGTGCGGGTCTGTGGGTCTGTGTGTGAGTTTATGGGTCTCTGAGCCTATGGGTCTCCGTGTGAGTCTATGGGTCTCTGTGTCAGTCTGTTTGTCTCTGAGCCTATGGGTCTCTGTGTGAGTCTTTGTCTCTGAGCCTATGTGTCTCTGTGTGAGTCTATGGGTCTCTGTGTGAGTTTGTGTGTCTCTGAGCCTATGGGTCTCTGTGTGAGTCTGTGTGTCTCTGACCTATCGGTCTCTGTGTGAATCTGTGTGACTTTGTGTGAGTCTATGGGTCTCTGTGTGAGTCTGTGTGTCTCTGTGTGAGTCTTTGGGTCTCGATGTGAGTCTGTGTGTCTCTAAGCCTATGGCTCTCCGTGTGAGTCTGTGTGTCTCTGAGCCTATGGGTATCTGTGTGAATCTGTGTGTCTCTCAGCCTATGGGTCTCTGTGTGAGTCTATTTGTCTCTGAGCCTATGGGTCTCTGTGTGAGTCTGTGTGTCTCTCAGCCTATGGGTCTCTGTGTGAGTCTATTTGTCTCTGAGCCTATGGGTCTCTGTGTGAGTCTGTGTGTCTCTGAGCCTATGGCTCTCTGTGTGAGTCTGTGTGTCTCTGTCTTATTCTTCTTCTTTGTATGGCTGACGGCGCGCGACTCTGACGGCGCGCAAGTCCGCACGGCCAGATGATCCCAGGCCCGATGGAAAGTGCGCCAGCCAGAGCGGCGATTGCCGCCGTGCGTCCGACCTCGCGCGTTTTGACGTCCGCGCCGCTTGCGCGCGTTCGCCTACCCCCCCCCCTTCCCCCCAGGCTACCCGTACGAGCGCTGCATCGGCGCCGACGAGCAGAAGCAGGGGATGATGCAGTCGGTGGACTCGCTGGCCCTCGCTTTCAGCAACAGGTGCGTCCGCACACGTCCCACCGGCACCGCCGCCGCTCCCCATCCGCACGCGTCAAGCGAGGACTTTGCTGTATGCACGTGTGTACGTGCGTGTGTGTGTGTGTGTCTGTGTGTTCACGTGTGTGTGTCTGTGTGTTCATGTGTGTGTGTGTGTCTGTGTGTTCAAGTGTGTGTGTGTCTGTGTGTGTGTGTGTCTGTGTGTGTGTGTCTGTGTGTTCAAGTGTGTGTGTGTCTGTGTGTTCACGTGTGTGTGTGTCTGTGTGTTCAAGTGTGTGTGTGTGTGTGTGTCTGTGTGTGTGTGTCTGTGTGTGTGTGTCTGTGTGTCTGTGTGTTCAAGTGTGTGTGTGTCTGTGTGTTCAAGTGTGTGTGTGTGTCTGTGTATTCAAGTGTGTGTGTGTCTGTGTGTTCAAGTGTGTGTGTGTGTGTCTGTGTGTTCAAGTGTGTGTGTCTGTGTGTTCACGTGTGTGTCTGTGTGTCTGTGTGTTCAAGTGTGTGTCTGTGTGTCTGTGTGTTCAAGTGTGTGTGTGTGTCTGTGTGTGTGTCTGTGTGTGTGTGTGTGTGTCTGTATGTGTGTCTGTGTGTTCACGTGTGTGTGTGTGTGTCTGTGTGTGTGTCTGTGTGTGTGTCTGTGTGTTCACGTGTGTGTGTGTGTCTGTGTGTTCACGTGTGTGTGTGTGTCTGTGTGTTCACGTGTGTGTGTGTGTCTGTGTGTTCACGTGTGTGTGTGTGTCTGTGTGTTCACGTGTGTGTGTGTGTCTGTGTGTTCACGTGTGTGTGTGTGTCTGTGTGTTCACGTGTGTGTGTGTCTCTGTGTTCAAGTGTGTGTGTCTGTGTGTGTGTCTGTATGTGTGTCTGTGTGTTCACGTGTGTGTTCACGTGTGTGTGTGTCTGTGTGTGTGTGTGTGTCTGTGTGTTCACGTGTGTGTGTGTGTCTGTGTGTTCAAGTCTGTGTCTGTGTGTTCAAGTGTGTGTGTGTGTGTCTGTGTGTCTGTGTGTTCAAGTCTGTGTCTGTGTCTGTGTGTGTGTCTGTGTGTGTGTGTCTGTGTGTTCACGTGTGTGTGTGTCTGTGTGTGTCTGTGTGTTCAAGTATGTGTGTGTGTCTGTGTGTTCAAGTGTGTGTGTGTGTCTGTGTGTTCACGTGTGTGTGTGTCTGTGTGTTCAAGTGTGTGTGTGTGTGTCTGTGTGTTCAAGTGTGTGTGTCTGTGTGTTCACGTGTGTGTCTGTGTGTCTGTGTGTTCAAGTGTGTGTCTGTGTGTCTGTGTGTTCAAGTGTGTGTGTGTGTCTGTGTGTGTGTCTGTGTGTGTGTGTGTGTGTCTGTATGTGTGTCTGTGTGTTCACGTGTGTGTGTGTGTGTCTGTGTGTGTGTCTGTGTGTGTGTCTGTGTGTTCACGTGTGTGTGTGTGTCTGTGTGTTCACGTGTGTGTGTGTGTCTGTGTGTTCACGTGTGTGTGTGTGTCTGTGTGTTCACGTGTGTGTGTGTGTCTGTGTGTTCACGTGTGTGTGTGTGTCTGTGTGTTCACGTGTGTGTGTGTGTCTGTGTGTGTGTCTGTGTGTGTGTCTGTGTGTTCACGTGTGTGTGTGTGTCTGTGTGTGTGTGTGTGTCTGTGTGTTCACGTGTGTGTGTGTGTCTGTGTGTTCAAGTCTGTGTCTGTGTGTTCAAGTGTGTGTGTGTGTGTCTGTGTGTCTGTGTGTTCAAGTCTGTGTCTGTGTCTGTGTGTGTGTCTGTGTGTGTGTGTCTGTGTGTTCACGTGTGTGTGTGTCTGTGTGTGTCTGTGTGTTCAAGTATGTGTGTGTGTCTGTGTGTTCAAGTGTGTGTGTGTGTGTCTGTGTGTTCACGTGTGTGTGTGTCTGTGTGTTCAAGTGTGTGTGTGTGCCTGTGTGTTCAAGTGTGTGTGTGTACATGTGTTTGCGTCTGTATGCATGGGGAGGCGGTAGTGTGATGGCAGTTAGCGCTACGCTGCACTACGAACCCGGCAGCCAGAGATTGATTCCCGCTCACGGCCAACACCGGTGACGATTGTCTGAACAGGTCCTGGGCCTCACCTAGGTCGATTCAGCCTCAAATGAGTACCTGGTGCGGTGTGTAAACATCGCCACTAGGGAGACAAAGGCGGGCAGGCGTGGTGTTAGCCACCCACCCCTTCGTGTGCCGTGCCGGCCTTTATAGGTGCTCGCTTAACAGCACTTGCCCCAGCAGTCTGTTAAGGTTATACGTGGGATCTTTGTCTTTGTGTGTGTGTGTGTACGCGTGGTGCTGGCCACCTACCACCCACCCCCTGGTGTGCCGTTCAAGCCTTCATAGGTGCTGCTACTCGCTAACAGCACTTGCCCCAGCAGTCTGTTAAGGTTATACGTGGGATCTTTGTCTTTGTGTGTGTGTGTGTACGCGTGGTGCTGGCCACCTACCACCCACCCCCTGGTGTGCCGTTCAAGCCTTCATAGGTGCTGCTACTCGCTAACAGCACTTGCCCCAGCAGTCTGTTAAGGTTATACGTGGGATCTTTGTCTTTGTGTGTGTGTGTGTGTACGCGTGGTGCTGGCCACCTACCACCCACCCCCTGGTGTGCCGTTCAAGCCTTCATAGGTGCTGCTACTCGCTAACAGCACTTGCCCCAGCAGTCTGTTAAGGTTATACGTGGGATCTTTGTCTTTGTGTGTGTGTGTGTACGCGTGGTGCTGGCCACCTACCACCCACCCCCTGGTGTGCCGTTCAAGCCTTCATAGGTGCTGCTACTCGCTAACAGCACTTGCCCCAGCAGTCTGTTAAGGTTATACGTGGGATCTTTGTCTTTGTGTGTGTGTGTGTACGCGTGGTGCTGGCCACCTACCACCCACCCCCTGGTGTGCCGTTCAAGCCTTCATAGGTGCTGCTACTCGCTAACAGCACTTGCCCCAGCAGTCTGTTAAGGTTATACGTGGGATCTTTGTCTTTGTGTGTGTGTGTGTACGCGTGGTGCTGGCCACCTACCACCCACCCCCTGGTGTGCCGTTCAAGCCTTCATAGGTGCTGCTACTCGCTAACAGCACTTGCCCCAGCAGTCTGTTAAGGTTATACGTGGGATCTTTGTCTTTGTGTGTGTGTGTGTACGCGTGGTGCTGGCCACCTACCACCCACCCCCTGGTGTGCCGTTCAAGCCTTCATAGGTGCTGCTACTCGCTAACAGCACTTGCCCCAGCAGTCTGTTAAGGTTATACGTGGGATCTTTGTCTTTGTGTGTGTGTGTGTACGCGTGGTGCTGGCCACCTACCACCCACCCCCTGGTGTGCCGTTCAAGCCTTCATAGGTGCTGCTACTCGCTAACAGCACTTGCCCCAGCAGTCTGTTAAGGTTATACGTGGGATCTTTGTCTTTGTGTGTGTGTGTGTACGCGTGGTGCTGGCCACCTACCACCCACCCCCTGGTGTGCCGTTCAAGCCTTCATAGGTGCTGCTACTCGCTAACAGCACTTGCCCCAGCAGTCTGTTAAGGTTATACGTGGGATCTTTGTCTTTGTGTGTGTGTGTGTACGCGTGGTGCTGGCCACCTACCACCCACCCCCTGGTGTGCCGTTCAAGCCTTCATAGGTGCTGCTACTCGCTAACAGCACTTGCCCCAGCAGTCTGTTAAGGTTATACGTGGGATCTTTGTCTTTGTGTGTGTGTGTGTACGCGTGGTGCTGGCCACCTACCACCCACCCCCTGGTGTGCCGTTCAAGCCTTCATAGGTGCTGCTACTCGCTAACAGCACTTGCCCCAGCAGTCTGTTAAGGTTATACGTGGGATCTTTGTCTTTGTGTGTGTGTGTGTACGCGTGGTGCTGGCCACCTACCACCCACCCCCTGGTGTGCCGTTCAAGCCTTCATAGGTGCTGCTACTCGCTAACAGCACTTGCCCCAGCAGTCTGTTAAGGTTATACGTGGGATCTTTGTCTTTGTGTGTGTGTGTGTGTACGCGTGGTGCTGGCCACCTACCACCCACCCCCTGGTGTGCCGTTCAAGCCTTCATAGGTGCTGCTACTCGCTAACAGCACTTGCCCCAGCAGTCTGTTAAGGTTATACGTGGGATCTTTGTCTTTGTGTGTGTGTGTGTGTACGCGTGGTGCTGGCCACCTACCACCCACCCCCTGGTGTGCCGTTCAAGCCTTCATAGGTGCTGCTACTCGCTAACAGCACTTGCCCCAGCAGTCTGTTAAGGTTATACGTGGGATCTTTGTCTTTGTGTGTGTGTGTGTGTACGCGTGGTGCTGGCCACCTACCACCCACCCCCTGGTGTGCCGTTCAAGCCTTCATAGGTGCTGCTACTCGCTAACAGCACTTGCCCCAGCAGTCTGTTAAGGTTATACGTGGGATCTTTGTCTTTGTGTGTGTGTGTGTACGCGTGGTGCTGGCCACCTACCACCCACCCCCTGGTGTGCCGTTCAAGCCTTCATAGGTGCTGCTACTCGCTAACAGCACTTGCCCCAGCAGTCTGTTAAGGTTATACGTGGGATCTTTGTCTTTGTGTGTGTGTGTGTACGCGTGGTGCTGGCCACCTACCACCCACCCCCTGGTGTGCCGTTCAAGCCTTCATAGGTGCTGCTACTCGCTAACAGCACTTGCCCCAGCAGTCTGTTAAGGTTATACGTGGGATCTTTGTCTTTGTGTGTGTGTGTGTACGCGTGGTGCTGGCCACCTACCACCCACCCCCTGGTGTGCCGTTCAAGCCTTCATAGGTGCTGCTACTCGCTAACAGCACTTGCCCCAGCAGTCTGTTAAGGTTATACGTGGGATCTTTGTCTTTGTGTGTGTGTGTGTACGCGTGGTGCTGGCCACCTACCACCCACCCCCTGGTGTGCCGTTCAAGCCTTCATAGGTGCTGCTACTCGCTAACAGCACTTGCCCCAGCAGTCTGTTAAGGTTATACGTGGGATCTTTGTCTTTGTGTGTGTGTGTGTACGCGTGGTGCTGGCCACCTACCACCCACCCCCTGGTGTGCCGTTCAAGCCTTCATAGGTGCTGCTACTCGCTAACAGCACTTGCCCCAGCAGTCTGTTAAGGTTATACGTGGGATCTTTGTCTTTGTGTGTGTGTGTGTACGCGTGGTGCTGGCCACCTACCACCCACCCCCTGGTGTGCCGTTCAAGCCTTCATAGGTGCTGCTACTCGCTAACAGCACTTGCCCCAGCAGTCTGTTAAGGTTATACGTGGGATCTTTGTCTTTGTGTGTGTGTGTGTACGCGTGGTGCTGGCCACCTACCACCCACCCCCTGGTGTGCCGTTCAAGCCTTCATAGGTGCTGCTACTCGCTAACAGCACTTGCCCCAGCAGTCTGTTAAGGTTATACGTGGGATCTTTGTCTTTGTGTGTGTGTGTGTACGCGTGGTGCTGGCCACCTACCACCCACCCCCTGGTGTGCCGTTCAAGCCTTCATAGGTGCTGCTACTCGCTAACAGCACTTGCCCCAGCAGTCTGTTAAGGTTATACGTGGGATCTTTGTCTTTGTGTGTGTGTGTGTACGCGTGGTGCTGGCCACCTACCACCCACCCCCTGGTGTGCCGTTCAAGCCTTCATAGGTGCTGCTACTCGCTAACAGCACTTGCCCCAGCAGTCTGTTAAGGTTATACGTGGGATCTTTGTCTTTGTGTGTGTGTGTGTACGCGTGGTGCTGGCCACCTACCACCCACCCCCTGGTGTGCCGTTCAAAGCCTTCATAGGTGCTGCTACTCGCTAACAGCACTTGCCCCAGCAGTCTGTTAAGGTTATACGTGGGATCTTTGTCTTTGTGTGTGTGTGTGTACGCGTGGTGCTGGCCACCTACCACCCACCCCCTGGTGTGCCGTTCAAGCCTTCATAGGTGCTGCTACTCGCTAACAGCACTTGCCCCAGCAGTCTGTTAAGGTTATACGTGGGATCTTTGTCTTTGTGTGTGTGTGTGTACGCGTGGTGCTGGCCACCTACCACCCACCCCCTGGTGTGCCGTTCAAGCCTTCATAGGTGCTGCTACTCGCTAACAGCACTTGCCCCAGCAGTCTGTTAAGGTTATACGTGGGATCTTTGTCTTTGTGTGTGTGTGTGTACGCGTGGTGCTGGCCACCTACCACCCACCCCCTGGTGTGCCGTTCAAGCCTTCATAGGTGCTGCTACTCGCTAACAGCACTTGCCCCAGCAGTCTGTTAAGGTTATACGTGGGATCTTTGTCTTTGTGTGTGTGTGTGTACGCGTGGTGCTGGCCACCTACCACCCACCCCCTGGTGTGCCGTTCAAGCCTTCATAGGTGCTGCTACTCGCTAACAGCACTTGCCCCAGCAGTCTGTTAAGGTTATACGTGGGATCTTTGTCTTTGTGTGTGTGTGTGTACGCGTGGTGCTGGCCACCTACCACCCACCCCCTGGTGTGCCGTTCAAGCCTTCATAGGTGCTGCTACTCGCTAACAGCACTTGCCCCAGCAGTCTGTTAAGGTTATACGTGGGATCTTTGTCTTTGTGTGTGTGTGTGTACGCGTGGTGCTGGCCACCTACCACCCACCCCCTGGTGTGCCGTTCAAGCCTTCATAGGTGCTGCTACTCGCTAACAGCACTTGCCCCAGCAGTCTGTTAAGGTTATACGTGGGATCTTTGTCTTTGTGTGTGTGTGTGTACGCGTGGTGCTGGCCACCTACCACCCACCCCCTGGTGTGCCGTTCAAGCCTTCATAGGTGCTGCTACTCGCTAACAGCACTTGCCCCAGCAGTCTGTTAAGGTTATACGTGGGATCTTTGTCTTTGTGTGTGTGTGTGTACGCGTGGTGCTGGCCACCTACCACCCACCCCCTGGTGTGCCGTTCAAGCCTTCATAGGTGCTGCTACTCGCTAACAGCACTTGCCCCAGCAGTCTGTTAAGGTTATACGTGGGATCTTTGTCTTTGTGTGTGTGTGTGTACGCGTGGTGCTGGCCACCTACCACCCACCCCCTGGTGTGCCGTTCAAGCCTTCATAGGTGCTGCTACTCGCTAACAGCACTTGCCCCAGCAGTCTGTTAAGGTTATACGTGGGATCTTTGTCTTTGTGTGTGTGTGTGTACGCGTGGTGCTGGCCACCTACCACCCACCCCCTGGTGTGCCGTTCAAGCCTTCATAGGTGCTGCTACTCGCTAACAGCACTTGCCCCAGCAGTCTGTTAAGGTTATACGTGGATCTTTGTCTTTGTGTGTGTGTGTGTACGCGTGGTGCTGGCCACCTACCACCCACCCCCTGGTGTGCCGTTCAAGCCTTCATAGGTGCTGCTACTCGCTAACAGCACTTGCCCCAGCAGTCTGTTAAGGTTATACGTGGGATCTTTGTCTTTGTGTGTGTGTGTGTACGCGTGGTGCTGGCCACCTACCACCCACCCCCTGGTGTGCCGTTCAAGCCTTCATAGGTGCTGCTACTCGCTAACAGCACTTGCCCCAGCAGTCTGTTAAGGTTATACGTGGGATCTTTGTCTTTGTGTGTGTGTGTGTACGCGTGGTGCTGGCCACCTACCACCCACCCCCTGGTGTGCCGTTCAAGCCTTCATAGGTGCTGCTACTCGCTAACAGCACTTGCCCCAGCAGTCTGTTAAGGTTATACGTGGGATCTTTGTCTTTGTGTGTGTGTGTGTACGCGTGGTGCTGGCCACCTACCACCCACCCCCTGGTGTGCCGTTCAAGCCTTCATAGGTGCTGCTACTCGCTAACAGCACTTGCCCCAGCAGTCTGTTAAGGTTATACGTGGGATCTTTGTCTTTGTGTGTGTGTGTGTAACGCGTGGTGCTGGCCACCTACCACCCACCCCCTGGTGTGCCGTTCAAGCCTCATAGGTGCTGCTACTCGCTAACAGCACTTGCCCCAGCAGTTTGTTACAGGCTATATGGGGGCTCTTTGTCTTTGTGTGTGTGAGTTAACGAGCTCTCCGTGTCTCTTCCCCCTCGCCTCGATCGCCATCATTGTCACCATCGTCACCACCATCATCACCGCCATCATCGTCACCGTCATTACCATCGTCACCAGCCATCATCGTCACCAGTCATTACCATCGTCACCACCGTCATCATCACCGTCATTACCATCGTCACTGCCATCATCATCGTAATCACCATCGCCATCATCACCGTAATCACCATCGCCATCATCACCGTCATAACCATCGTCACCATCGTCACCGCCATCACCATCGTCACCGCCATCACCATCGTCACCGCCATCACCGTCATTACCATCGTCATCGCCATCATCATCGTAATCACCATCGCCATCATCACCGTCATAACCATCGTCACCATCGTCACCATCGTCACCATCGTCACCATCATCACCATCGTCAACATCATCACCGCCATCACCATCGTCACCACCGTCATCATCACCGTCATTACCATCGTCACCGCCATCATCATCGTAATCACCATCGCCATCATCACCGTAATCACCATCGCCATCATCACCGTCATAACCATCGTCACCATCGTCACCGCCATCACCGCCATCACCATCGTCATCGCCATCACCATCGTCACCACCGTCACCATCACCGTCATTACCATCGTCATCGCCATCATCATCGTAATCACCATCGCCATCATCACCGTCATAACCATCGTCACCATCGTCACCGCCATCACCATCGTCACCGCCATCACCATCATCACCGCCATCACCATCGTCATCGCCATCACCATCGTCACCACCGTCACCATCACCGCCATCATCATCGTAATCACCATCGCCATCATCACCGTCATAACCATCGTCACCATCGTCACCATCATCACCATCGTCACCATCATCACCATCGTCACCATCATCACCACCGTCATCATCACCGTCATTACCATCGTCACCGCCATCATCATTGTAATCACCATCGCCATCATCACCGTAATCACCATCGCCATCATCACCGTCATAACCATCGTCACCGCCATCACCATCATCACCATCGTCACCACCATCACCATCGTCACCACCATCACCATCGTCACCGCCATCACCATCGTCACCGCCATCACCACCATCACCATCATCACCATCGTCACCATCATCATGGTGCGCAGTGTGACCGAGTTCCTGATGGGCGACTCTGAGGGCGCGTGGTCATCGCTACGGCAACAGCAGCACAGCCGGGTGAGGCTGGCCCCTCCCGTCCCTCCCCTTCCCCCACCTCATCCACCACCACCTCACCCCCCACCACCTCCACCTCCACCACCTCCTTCACCTCCTCTTCCCCCACCACCTCCTCCACCACCTCCTCCACCACCTCCACCACCTCCACCTCCTCAACCACCACCTCCACCACCTCCTCCACCACCCCCACCACCTCCTCCACCACCTCCTCTTCCCCCACCACCTCCTCCACCACCACCTCCTCTTCCCCCACCACCTCCACCACCTCGACCACCTCCTCCACCACCTCGACCACCTCCTCCACCACCTCCTCCTCCTCCTCCTCCTCCACCACCTCCACCACCTCGACCACCTCCTCAACCACCTCCTCCACCACCTCCTCTTCCCCCCCACCTCCTCCACCACCTCCTCTTCCCCCACCACCTCCACCACCTCGACCACCTCCTCCACCACCTCGACCACCTCCTCCACCACCTCCTCCTCCTCCTCCTCCTCCACCACCTCCACCACCTCGACCACCTCCTCAACCACCTCCTCCACCACCTCCTCTTCCCCCACCACCTCCTCCACCACCTCCACGTCCACCACCTCCTCCACCACCTCCACCACCTCCACCACCACCTCCACCACCACCACCTCCTCCACCACCTCCACCACCTCCTCTTCCTCCACCACCTCCACCACCACCTCCACCGCCTCCACCACCTCCTCTTCCCCCACCACCACCACCTCCTCCACCACCTCCTTCATCACCACCTCCACCACCTCCACCACCTCCTCCACCACCTCCTCCACCACCTCCTTCATCACCACCTCCACCACCTCCTCCACCACCTCCTCCACCACCTCCACCACCACCTCCCCCACCACCTCCTCCACCGCGCCGGTGCGGCTTGCTCGCATACCCGTGGACGTTTGCGTGAAATAGTTGAATTGCTCAATTCATCTTAATTGTTTCATCGAATCAGTTTACTTGATCTCTTTTTATTAAATCCTTTATATTAAGTTCACTTGCTTGCTTGCTTGCGCGCTTACGACCGTGCAAATCTTTCGGTCGTTTTTGAACCCACTTCCCGTGATCCAATCGAGCTGACATTTTGCACACAGACTCGTTGTGCGTGACAATTTATTTTCGTGAAATTTTTTTTTCTCCAAAATTTTACACTTTTTAGGAAAAAGAAAATGATATTTAATTACCAATTGCTTAATGGTGGCATGCAATCATCTGACCCATAGGTGGCAGCCATCTCAAGCCAGAGGACGAGAGGACTCTAGCCGCCACGCATATAAAGGATTTATAGTGAAAAACTTTGTTTTTACGGGTTAATTTTAATTTCCCCACCACCCCCCACCACCACCACCACCTCCACCCTCCAACAGTCGCTGGAAAACCTGAGCGGGGAGAAGGAGGAGGAGGAGTGCAGAGGAGCTGAGGGGAGGGACGATAAGGAAGATCCGGCCTTCGGTGAGGCCGGCATGTTTTCGAAAACGTTTTCGTCTAACCATGTTTGTGTGTTGTAGTACCGCTGCTATCCTACATAATGCACGGGCATAATATAATATGACTTTGAGACCCCACCCCGCCCCCACCTCCTACGCATTTCACAAGTAGTGACTAATCCCATATCTGCATTTTCCATAAGTATGCTAAATTAATCTGTTGATATGTAAATTCCTTTGTCAAGGCGCTCTTCCTCCTCTAACACAGCTTAAATATACGCTGCCAAGCTTGGCGGTGTTTCATTCAGACTCTGTCTTTCCGACAGACCTGTTCTTCACCTGAGGACGGCTGCTTGCGTTGTGGCCGAAACGTCGTGAGAATTGTATTTTGTTATGTTTAATTTTTATTATTTTATTATTTCCCTTCTACGTGACTTTACCGAAAGAACCAAGAAGATGAATCCCTGCAGTCACGAAAGCTTTAAATCGAAATTGTAGTACAGAGTTATAAGACTGATAACTTTAATCTAAATTGTCTTTTGGTTGTTATTGTTTGACTTGCATCCCACTGGGATTTTTGCAAACAGCGGTGATGTGCGCCGTTTTTTTCTGCTGTTTTTTCCTGGATTTTTCTGTTGCAGTTGTCACTTGAAGATGTTTCTTGTTCATGTTGTTTGTTTGTTGCGGTTGCACCCGATTCAAGAGCCACATGGCTCACAGGGCTTTATCTAGTAAATGAACAGTTAATAAATGGAATAAATGTTAAACTAAACCAACTTAAAGCGATTTTATTTTTACCAGGTATTTATTTAAGGCCAAGGTAAGCTTCATAGCTGTTTTGTCAGAAGTGACCTGGCCACAAATGATCGATCAACGAAAGTGGCTTATCATCATTATCATGAGACCCATAAAGACCCACACTCATAGAGACCCATACTCACAGAGACCCACACTCATAGAGACCCACACTCATAGAGACCCACACTCATAGAGACCCACACTCATAGAGACCCACACTCATAGAGACCCATACTCATAGAGACCCAAACTCATAGAGACCCACACTCATAGAGACCCACACTCATAGAGACCCATACTCACAGAGACCCACACTCATAGAGACCCAAACTCATAGAGACCCACACTCATAGAGACCCACACTCACAGAGACCCACACTCACAGAGACCCAAACTCATAGAGACCCATACTCATAGAGACCCAAACTCATAGAGACCCATACTCCGAGAGATCCATAGAGACCCATACTCACAGAGACCCAAACTCATAGAGACCCATACTCCGAGAGATCCATAGAGACCCATACTCATAGAGACCCAAACTCATAGAGACCCATACTCCGAGAGATCCATAGAGACCCACACTCACAGAGACCCAAACTCATAGAGACCCATACTCCGAGAGATCCATAGAGACCCATACTCATAGAGACCCAAACTCGTAGAGACCCATACTCTGAGAGATCCATAGAGACCCACACTCACAGAGACCCAAACTCATAGAGACCCATACTCCGAGAGATCCATAGAGACCCATACTCACAGAGACCCAAACTCATAGAGACCCATACTCCGAGAGATCCATAGAGACCCATACTCACAGAGACCCAAACTCATAGAGACCCATACTCCGAGAGATCCATAGAGACCCATACTCACAGAGACTCAAACTCATAGAGACCCATACTCCGAGAGATCCATAGAGACCCATACTCATAGAGACCCAAACTCATAGAGACCCATACTCCGAGAGATCCATAGAGACCCATACTCACAGAGACCCAAACTCATAGAGACCCATACTCTGAGAGATCCATAGAGACCCATACTCACAGAGACCCAAACTCATAGAGACCCATACTCCGAGAGATCCATAGAGACCCATACTCATAGAGACCCAAACTCATAGAGACCCATACTCCGAGAGATCCAGAGACCCATACTCACAGAGACCCAAACTCATAGAGACCCATACTCCGAGAGATCCATAGAGACCCACACTCACAGAGACCCAAACTCATAGAGACCCATACTCTGAGAGATCCATAGAGACCCATACTCACAGAGACCCAAACTCATAGAGACCCATACTCCGAGAGATCCATAGAGACCCACACTCACAGAGACCCAAACTCATAGAGACCCATACTCCGAGAGATCCATAGAGACCCATACTCATAGAGACCCAAACTCATAGAGACCCATACTCCGAGAGATCCATAGAGACCCATACTCACAGAGACCCAAACTCATAGAGACCCATACTCCGAGAGATCCATAGAGACCCATACTCATAGAGACCCAAACTCATAGAGACCCATACTCCGAGAGATCCATAGAGACCCATACTCACAGAGACCCAAACTCATAGAGACCCATACTCCGAGAGATCCATAGAGACCCACACTCACAGAGACCCAAACTCATAGAGACCCATACTCCGAGAGATCCATAGAGACCCACACTCACAGAGACCCATACTCCGAGAGATCCATAGAGACCCATACTCATAGAGACCCAAACTCGTAGAGACCCATACCCATAGAGACCTATACTCATAGAGACCCAGACTGCTACTAAACTTGTATTTTACCAGGTATTTTTAGGCGGTGGTGATGGTAGTCATTGCGGAGGCGGGGCGCTGGGCAGCTAAAACGCAGAAAGTTGGCACAGTAGGGGGCACAGATGGTGCATCGGCCAGTAGCCATCTCAGTCGGTCAACCCATGGCACCTGCTGGGTCTGTCCCGTGACCTCCTCCTGCCAGCAGCGAGCCTTCAACACTTCCCGCGATGGCCTCAAAGCGCACCAGGCCTGGCACAGGCGCCGTGGTGGTGACATCGCCGCCACTAAGTGGCGAATGGCGGCTATTGGGATTGGTGGTGGCGGTGGAACCTTTGTCTTTGCTACCCAGCAGGGCTGGACTCGGAGGACCTGGACGAGCGGTTGCACTCGTGCGACGGGGGTATCGACGCAGCGCTGGCCTACGCCAAGGCCCTGTCCAAGTACATCAGCGGCCTCGCCGCGTACGTTGAGCGCAGACTCGCAGTCGGTACGGACGCCTCGCCCGCCCACCCACGGCCACCCTCAACTCCCTGCACCACCACCAACACCACCACCACCAACACCACCACCACCATCTCCTCACTCTCCCCTCCACCATCTCTCCGATCCCTAACTTCAGCCCATCTCTCTCCCCGATCGACTCACGCCTCCCCCTCGTCAATCCACGGCCTCCCCCTCCCTGTCTCCCACCACCATCACCATCTATCATCTCCCTCCTTCAGTTCATTTCTCTGCCCTCTCTCTCTCTCCCCTGTCCGCAAACCCCATCTCGGGATACGTGGGGCGGAGGCTCACACTGGGTATGGTCTCTCCCTCGCCCACCCATCCACCCCTCCCTCCCTCCAATCCCACCACCATCTCCTCACTCTCCCCTCCACCATCTCTCCACTCCTCCTTCAGCTCATCTCTCTCCCCTATCGCTCACACCCCCCCCTTGCCCACCCACGGCTACCCTCCCTGCCTCCACCACCACCCCCCCCCCTCCCCAATGTCAACTACAAATCTCTCCACTCTCCCCTCCACCATCGTTCCTCTGCTTTCCCTCCACCTCATCTCTCTCCCTGATCTCCCAAACCCGCCCTCCCTCCACCACCACCACCACCACCATCTCTCCTCCAACAGTCAGCCCCGATGTCGTCCACCTGCAGTCGTCCTTCAGTCCCCGAGCCGGCGGCCCTGATCGCGGGCCTCGCTCCCGGAAACTTCCAGCACTTTCCCTCCGTTAGACTCGTCCAGCAGACTCCCACCATTTTTCTCGAACCTTCCCCCGTGCAGTGGCCTTGCGCCTGCCGTTGCCACCCCATCTCCACCGACCGACCCCACTAGAACCCTTTGCCACGTGCAGTACAACCTACCCCGGTGTCCATGGAGCTTTGTCTTCGTTTCGCTCACCAGACATCGACTACTCCAAGGACCTGATGAAGCTGGCGCAGTGTCCGATGCCGGCCTTCACCCACGAGGTACTTGCACCACTCCAACGATGGCGATCGTCACTAGGAGGGGGGCGGGGTGGGGAGGGCGCTTGCCCTGCCAATGTGCGTTTTCACATATCTCTGTCTGTGACTGGAGGACGAATCTGATGAGCTAACAAGCTCTTGATAATTACTCTTAGTTCTTTTGGTAAAGTCACGTGGGTAAAAAATGAAAAATTACCTATGTGACTTTACAGAAATAACTAAGAGTATCAATCCTTGCAGTCACGAAAGCTTAAAATCTAGAACTCTTGATGATTGTTTTTTTACCCTTCTATCTGGCAACAAACTGACACCTTTTTTTTTTTACAAGGAGTCATGTTTGCATAGACCACAATACCTGCAGTCGTAATGCAAACAAAAACACAACTCTGATAATGTATGCACTGTCTTTGAAGTTGATTCGTCCACACCCGAGACAGCTTTCCTTAGAGCCTAGTCTCACATGGTGTTGGACCAGATGACACCAAAAGGCGCACAACTCAGAGACAATGCACCATCAGAGTATGAGAGCTCGGGGTAAGCATTTACACCATTGGAACCTCATTTGCCAGTAACCAATATGATAATTGTGTTTTTACCCTTTTATCTGGCAACAAAACTGACACCTTTTTTTTTTAACAAGGAGTCATGTTTACATAGACCACAATACCTGCAGTCATAATGCAAACAAAAAACATAACTCTGATAACGTATGCACTGTCCTTGAAGTTGATTGGTCCACACCTGAGACAGCTTTCCTTAGAGCCTAGTCTCACATGGGTTGGACCAGATTATCAGAGTTATATTTTTTGTTTGCATTATGACTGCAGGTATTGTGGTCTATGTAAACATGACTCCTTGTAAAAAAAAAGGTGTCAGTTTTGTTGAAAGATAGAAGGGTAAAAAACCAATTATCATATTTTCTACTGGCAAATGAGGTTCCAATGGTACCAAGCTCTTGTTCACATATGGTCCAGTGCGGAGGGCAGGGGGAAGGGGGGGTTAGAGAGTTGCAACGGCAAGCGATGCAGAAACATACGCAATAAGGAGCGCACAATACAGACTAGATGGTAAGTGAGTCATTAAATAGATATAAATAATGGATACAAATTTTTTGTCAAATATAAGTTCCATTTATCAAACTTGGGCAAGGCAGCAAAGGCAACAACAACAACAGTCCCAGACTACACCGAGATAATGGGAGTAATTGTAGTGGTGGTTGTTGGTGGTGATGGTAGTGATGCCGATGGTTATGATGGTTGTAATTGTGGTGGTGGTGGTGATGGCGGTGATGCTCATGATGGTGATGGTAGTAATTGTGGTGGTGGTTGTGGTGGTTGTGGTGGTGATGGTAGTGATGCCGGTGGTGGTAATGGTAATAATTGTGGTAGTTGTGGTGGTGATGGTAGTAATGCCGTTGGTGGTGATGGTAATAATTGTGGTATTGTGGTGGTCATGGTAGTGATGCTGGTGGTGGTGATGGTAGTCATTGTGGTTTTGGTGGTGATGGTAGTGATTGTGGTGGTGATGGTAGTCATTGTGGTGGTGATGGTAGTGATGCCGGTGGTGGTGATGGGTAGTAGTTGTGGTGGTGGTGGTGATGGTAGTGACCGGTGGTGGTGATGGTAATAATTGTGGTGGTTGTGGTGGTGATGCCGTTGGTAGTGATGGTAGTCATTGTGGTTGTGGTGGTAATGGTAGTAACCGGTGGTGGTGATGGTAATAATTGTGGTTGTTGTGATGGTAGTGCTGGTCATGGTAGTAATGTCGGTGGTGGTGATGGGAGTAATTGTGGTGATGGTGGAGATTTTGGTGGTGGTAGTAGTGATGGTGATGATGGTAGTAACTGTGGTTTTTGTGGTGGTGATAGTTATGATGATGGTAGTAATTGTAGTGGTGGTGATGTGAGTGATGCCGGTGGTGGTGATGGTAATAATTGTGGTTGTGGTGGTGGTGATGGTGATGGTAGTAATTGTGGTGGTTGTGGTGATGGTGGTGGTGATGGTAGTAATTGTGGTGGTTGTGGTGGTGGTGGTGAGGGTAATAATTTTGGTGGTGATCATGTGAGTGATGCCGGTGGTGGTGACGGTAGTAATTGTGGTGGTGGTGATGGTAGTGATTCCGGTGCTGGTTGTGGTGGTGATGGTAATAATTGTGGTGGTTGTGGTGGTGGTAGTAATTGTGGTTGTGGTGGTGGTGGTAACAATTGTGGTGGTTGTGGTGGTGGTAGTAATTGTGGTGGTGGTGGTAACAATTGTGGTGGTTGTGGTGGTGGTAGTAATTGTGGTGGTGATGGTAACAATTGTGGTGGTTGTGGTGGTAGTAGTAATTGTGGTGGTGGTGGTAACAATTGTGGTGGTTGTGGTGGTGGTAGTAATTGTGGTGGTGGTGATGGTAACAATTGTGGTGGTTGTGGTGGTGGTAGTAATTGTGGTGGTGGTAACAATTGTGGTGGTGGTGGTAGTAATTGTGGTGGTGGTAACAATTGTGGTGGTTGTGGTGGTGGTAGTAATTGTGGTGGTGGTGGTAACAATTGTGGTGGTTGTGGTGGTGGTAGTAATTGTGGTGGTGGTGGTAACAATTGTGGTGGTTGTGGTGATGGTAGTAATTGTGGTGGTGGTGGTAACAATTGTGGAGGTGGTGGTGATGGTAGTAATTGTGGTGGTGGTGGTAACAATTGTGGTGGTGGTGGTGGTGGTAGTAATTGTGGTGGTGGTGGTAACAATTGTGGAGGTGGTGGTGATGGTAGTAATTGTGGTGGTGGTGGTAACAATTGTGGTGGTGGTGGTGGTAGTAATTGTGGTGGTGGTGGTAACAATTGTGGTGGTTGTGGTGGTGGTAGTAATTGTGGTGGTGGTGGTAGTAATTGTGGTGGTGGTGGTAACAATTGTGGTGGTTGTGGTGGTGGTAGTAATTGTGGTGGTGGTGGTAACAATTGTGGTGGTTGTGGTGATGGTAGTAATTGTGGTGGTGGTGGTAACAATTGTGGTGGTGGTGGTGGTGGTTGTGGTGGTGGTAGTAATTGTGGAGGTAACAATTGTGGAGGTGGTGGTGATGGTAGTAATTGTGGTGGTGGTGGTAACAATTGTGGTGGTGGTGGTGGTGGTTGTGGTGGTGGTTGTGGTGGTGGTAGTAATTGTGATGGTAACAATTGTGGTGGTTGTGTTGGTGGCACCAGCCACCTATGCCCCTGCAGGGTGTCTACGCGTCCCTCATGGAGCAGGACTGGGAGACGGCGCACGCCGCCGCCCACACGGCCGCCCAGCTGCAGGCCGACAAGTGCGTGCTGGTGAGCGCCGCCTGCGTCCGCCTGCGCCGCCCGCTGATGCTGCTGCTGCTGCTGCTAGTGCCGCCAGTGCCGATGGCTCCGATGGTGCTGCTACCGCTAGCGCCACCGTTGCCGCTACTACTGCTGCTCGAGCTACTTCTGTTAGCGCTGCTGCTGCTAGCACCGCCAGTGCCGATAGCGCTGCTGCTACTGCTACTGCTGCTGCTCTAGCCGCTGCTGTTAGCGCTGCTGCTGCTGCTGCTAGCACCGCCAGTGCCGATAGTGCTGCTGCTACTGCTGCTGCTAGCACCGCCAGTGCCGATAGTGCTGCTAGTGCTGCTACTGCTGCTGCTCTAGCCGCTGCTGTTAGCGCTGCTGCTGCTGCTAGCATCGCCAGTGCCGATAGTGCTACTGCTACTGCTGCTGCTCTAGCCGCTGCTGTTAGCGCTGCTGCTGCTGCTAGCATCGCCAGTGCCGATAGCGCCGCTAGTGCTGCTACTGCTGCTGCTGCTACTAGCACCGCCAGTGCCGCTAGCGCTACTGCTACTGCTGCTGCTACTGCTGCTGCTCGGGCTGCTTCTGTTAGCGCTGCTGCTGCTTCTGCTGCGAGCACCGCCAGTGCCGAAAGCGCCGCTAGTGCTGCTACTGCTACTGTTGCTGGTGCTGCTACTGCTGTTAGTTCTGATCGTGCTACTGCTGTGGCTAGTGCTGCTATTGCCGCTAGTGCTCGTGGTAGTGTTGCTACTGCGGCACCTTTAAAGCATACTACACTACACAATACTTTACACTCCACTATCCACAACTTTCGATTAATGTGGTTGGCTACGTACGGTGCGATGGAAGTTCAACATACAAACACACTCACACAACCAATTATGACCCCACCTCCCCACCCCCTCCCCCCACCTCTCCACCCCCCCCACCCTCCACCCTCCACCCCTCCCCCACCTCTCCACCCCCACCTCTCCACCCCCTCCCCCCACCTCTCCCCCACCTCTCCACCCCCACCTCTCCACCCCCTCCCCCCACCTCTCCCCCACCTCTCCCCCCACCTCTCCACCCCCCCACCTCTCCACCCCCTCTCCACCCCTACTCCCCACCTCCCCCCCCCACCTCTCCACCCCCTCCCCCCACCTCTCCACCCCCTCCCCCCCTGCACCCACCCCCTCCCCCCACCTCTCCACCCCCCCCACCCTCCACCCTCCACCCCTCCCCCACCTCTCCACCCCCACCTCTCCACCCCCTCCCCCCACCTCTCCCCCACCTCTCCCCCCACCTCTCCACCCCCCCACCTCTCCCCCACCTCTCCCCCCACCTCTCCACCCCCCCACCTCTCCACCCCCTCTCCACCCCTACTCCCCACCTCCCCACCCCTCCCCCCACCTCTCCCCCCCCACCTCCCCACCCCCTCCCCCCCTGCACCCACCCCCTCCCCCCACCTCTCCACCCCCCCCACCTCTCCCCCCCCCACCTCTCCCCCCCTACTCCCCACTCCCCCCACCTCTCCACCCCCCACCTCCCCCCCCCTCACCCCCCCTACCCCCCACCCCCCCACCTCTCCCCCCCTACCCCCCACCCCTGCAGCCTCTGCGGAGCTGGCGCGAGGAACACGAGCGCAAACGGAAGGAGCTCAAGGAGCTGTGGCAGAAGGGACAGCGCCGGCTGGTACGGCAGGAGGGGGGGACCCACCGGAACCCACCGGAACTAATCGGAACCCCGCCCCCCACTCCCCACTCCACGGGGGAGACAAAGGCGGGCGGGCGGGCACGCACGTGCGTGGTTTAGCGGCAGTCTTGCGGTTAGCGCCGCGCTACGAACCCACGTGTGACCCGGGTTCGATTTCCGCTCACGGCCAACATAATAATAAAAATAAAACATAATAAAATAATTCTCACGACGTTTCGGCCACAACGCAAGCAGCCGTCCTCAGGTGAAACCAGGTCTGTCGAGGCGACAGCGTCTGAATGTTGTGGCCGAAACGTCGTGAGAATTATTTTATTATGTTTTATTTTTATTATTTTATTACTTCCCTTCTACGTGACTTTACGGAAAGAACCAAGAATATGAATCCCTGCAGTCACGAAAGCTTTAAATCGGGTGTGTAGATATCGCCACTGGGGAGACAAAGGCGGCCGGGCGTGGTGTTGGTCACCCACCCCTTCGTCTGCCGTTTCGGCCTTCATAGGGTGCTACTCGCCAACAGCACTTGCCCCAACAGTCTGTTAAGGTTATATGTATGTGGCTAGGAGATGCTAACTACCTCGCCTGGTATGCGGAAGGTCGTGGATTCGATCCCTACCCTAACGCCTGCTGTATATTTGGAGTTTGCATGTGGCTAGGAGATGTGAACTACCTCGCCTGGTATGCAGGAGGTCGTGGGTTCGATCCCGACCCTAACGCCTGCTGTTGTATATTTGGAGTTTGCATGTGGCAAGGAGATGTTAACTACCTCGCCTGGTATGCAGGAGGTCGTGGGTTCGATCCCGACCCTAACGCCTGCTGTTGTATATTTGGAGTTTGCATGTGGCGAGGAGATGTTAACTACCTCGCCTGGTATGCGGAAGGTCGTGGGTTCGATCTCGACCCTGCCGCCTGCTGCTGTATATTTGGAGTTTGCGGTGTCTCTCTCTCTCCGTGGTTGCGTGGATTTTTCCCCGGGTCCTCCGGGTTTCCCCCCTTCACATGTAGAATCATCGGCACGCGTTTCCAGTGTTTGGTTGCTGCCATAAATTTCCACGTGATGACGACGATGAGCCACTTCGTTGAGCTCTCATTTGTGATTGCCAGGTCGCTTCTGAACAAGCGCGATAAATAGCTCAGTGGGCCCTAAGCTGGTTTAATAAAAGTATAATTCTGTGTTTTTAACAGCGCTTGGCCCCACTGCAGTATGTTAGAGGCTTCCAGCGGGGGGGGATCTTTGGCTTTGTCTTTGACCTCCCCGTGTGACCGTGTGTGTGTCTCTGTGCGTGTGTCTCTGTCTTCGTGTGTCTCTGTCCGCGTGTCTGTGTGCGTGTGTGTCTCTGTGCACGTGTCTCTGTCTTCGTGTGTCTGTGTGCGTGTGTCTGTGCTCGTGTGTCTCTGCGTGTGTGTCTCGGTCTTCGTGTGTCTCTGTGTGCTCGTGTGTCTTTGTCTTGGTGTGTCTCTGTGCGTGTGTCTGTGTACTCGTGTGTCTCTGCGTGTGTGTCTCTGTCTTGGTGTGTCTCTGTGTGCGTGTGTCTGTGTGCATGTGTCTGTGTGCGTGTGTCTCTGTGTGCGTGTGTCTCTATCTTCGTGTGTCTCTGTGCACGTGTGTCTGTGTGCGTGTGTCTGTGTGCATGTGTCTGTGTGCGTGTGTCTCTGTGCGTGTGTCTGTGTGCGCGTGTCTCTGTCTTCGTGTGTCTGTGTGCATGTGTCTCTGCGTGTGTGTCTCTGTGCGCGTGTGTCTGTGTGCGTGTGTCTCTGCATGTGTGTTTCTGTGTGCGTGTGTCTGTGTGCGTGTGTCTGTGTGCGTGTGTCTGTGTGCGTGTGTCTGTGTGCGTGTGTCTCTGTGCGTGTGTCTCTGTGTGTCTCTGTGTGTGTGTCTCTGCGTGTGTGTCTGTGCGTGTGTCTCTGCGTGTCTGTCTTCGTGTCTCGGTCTTCGTGTGTCTCTGTGTTCGTTGCAGGCCGAGGCAGAGTGCAGCCTCAAGAAAGCCCGACAGGTACAAGCTGCGTGCCTGCGTGGTGCACCTAGCCTGGCACAAGCGCCGTGGCGACGTCACCGCCACTTAGTGGCGAACAGCACTTGGCCCAATGGGCGGTGGCGCAGTGGTTAGCGGCGCCGCGTTTCGAACCCCAACACGCCCGAGTTCGATTCCCGCTCGCCGCCACCACAAGTGACGAATAATCTGAACCGGTCCCGGGCCTCCTCTAGGTCGACTTGGCTGTAAATGAGTACCTGGTGTGGTGCTGGCCACCCCACCGCCCCCCTGTCATGCGCTATACCGGCCTCCCTCGGTGCAACTCGCTGACAGCACTTGCGCCAACAGCCGGTTGAGTGTGGACTCTGAGTGGTTAAACGCTCGTCTCCCTCTCTACATCTCTCTCTCTGTGTCTACCGGTCTCCCTCCGTCTCCCCTGCGTCTCCCTGCGTCTCCTTGCGTCTCCTTGTGTCTCTCTGTCTCCCTGCACCCCCCCCCCCCCGTGTCTCCCTGTGTCTCTCTGTCTCCCTCTGTCTTCTCTCTTCAACTCTTTCTCTGTCTTCCTCCATCTCCCCCGTGTCTCTCTCTGTCTCCCTGCACCCCCCACACCGTATCTCCCTGCGTCTCCTCGTGTCTCTCTGTCTCCCTCCTGCATCTCCCTGCATCCCCCCCCCCCCCCCCACCCCGTGTCTCCTCGTGTCTCTCTGTCTCCCTCTGTCTCCCTGGACCCCCCCCCCCCACCCCGTGTCTCCTCGTGTCTCTCTGTCTCCCTCTGTCTCCCTGCACCCCCCCCCCCACCCCGTGTCTCCCTGCATCTCCCCGAGTCTCTCTGTGTCCCCCTCTGTCGCTGTGAATCCCCGTCTACCTCGATCGCTCTGCGTGCCTCCCTGTAACGCTCGTTTCAGTCCGTGAGTCTTTTGTACCGTGCGCACATTTGACCGCGTGCCCCCCCTCCCCCACGCCCCCCCCCTTCCCCCGCTGTACCCCCCCCCCCCCCGTGCCCCACCAGCTGTACTCTCAGCGGCGCGAGGAGCTGGAGCGCGCCCGAGGTTCGGCGGCACGCGCCGAGGAGGGGCTGGCGGCGGTGACGGCGGCGTCGTCCCCGGCCGAGGGCGGCGCCGGCGCCGGCACCGTCCACGCCGGATCGTCGCGCACCCTGGAGCGCAAGCGCAAGACGGAGGACGAGGCGCTGAGGAAGGTGCGGGGCAATGCCGGTGCCGGGCAATGCCGGTGCCGGGCACAGCCGGTGCCGGCCACATGACACACGGTGCCTTGGCACACGGTGCCTGGTGCTGGTGGTGGCGGCGGTGCTGGCGCTGGTGGTGGCGGTGCTGGTGGCGGCGGTGCTGGTGGTGCTGGTGACGGAAATGGTGGTGGTGCTGGTGGCGGCAATGGTGCTGGTGGTGGTGGTGCTGGTGGTGGTGGTGACGCTGGTGGTGCTGGTGGTGGTGGTGGTGACGCTGGCGGTGTTGGTGGTGGCGGTTCTGGTGGTGGCGGTGCTGGTGGTGGCGGTGCTGATGGCGGCGGTGCTGGTGGGGGCAGTGTCGGTGGTGCTGGTGATGGTGCTGCTGCTGATGGTGTTGATGGTGGTGCTGGTAGTGATACTGGTGATGCTGATGATGCTCATTGTGCTGGGGGTAGTGGTGGTGGTGATGCTGGTGGTGCTGGCGGTGATGGTGGTGATGCTGGCGGTGATGGTGTTGCTGGTGGTGCTGGCGGTGCTGGCGGTGGCGGTGGTGGTAGTGCTGGGGGTAGTAGTGGTGGTGGTAGTGATACTGATGATGCTGGTGGTGCTGGGGGTAGTGGTGGTGGTGGTGCTGATGATGGTGGTGGTGCTGATGGTGGTGCTGGCGGTGATGGTGGTGCTGGCGGTGGTGATGATGCTGGTGATGCTGGTGGTGCTGGGGGTAGTAGTGGTGGTGGTAGTGATACTGATGATGCTGGTGGTGCTGGGGGTAGTGGTGGTGGTGGTGCTGATGATGGTGGTGGTGATGCTGGTGGTGCTGGCGGTGATGGTGGTGCTGGTGGTGGTGGTGGTGATGCTGGCGGTGGTAGTGATGGTGATGCTGGTGTTGCTGATGGTGGTGGTGCCGATGGCGGTGTTGGCGGTGGTAGTGGTGGTGGTGATGGTAGTGGTGGTGATGGTGATGCTGGTGGTGTTGCTGATGGTGGTGCCGATGGCGGTGTTGGCGGTGGTAGTGGTGGTGGTGATGGTGGTGGTGGTGATGGTGATGCTGGTGGTGTTGCTGATGGTGGTGCCGATGGCGGTGGTAGTGGCGGTGGTAGTGGTGTTGGTGCTGGCGGTGGTAGTGGTGGTGATGGTGATGCTGGTGTTGCTGATGGTGGTGATGGTGGTGGTGTCGATGGCGGTGTTGGCGGCAGGCGGACGAGGCGGACGCCGTGTACCGCGCCAGCGCCAAGGAACTGCGCCTGCGCCGCCAGGAGGTGCAGGCCGTGAAGACGGTGGTGCTGACGCAGGTGCGGGAGCTGGCGCGCCGGGCCGACCTGGCGCTCAAGACGGTGAGGCGCCAGCGTGTCAACAACCGCGTGTGTGTGCGTGTGTGCGCGTGTGTGTGCGTGCGAGTGTGTGTGTGCGTGTGTGTGTGCGTGCGTGCGATTGTGTGTGTGTGCGCGTGCGAGTGTGCGTGTGTGTGCGTGTGTGTGTGTGTGCGTGTGTGTGTGTGTGCGATTGTGTGTGTGTGTGTGTGCGTGCGAGTGTGTGTGTGTGTGCGTGTGTGTGTGCGTGCGTGCGATTGTGTGTGTGTGTACGCGCGTGCGTGCGAGTGTGTGTGTGTGTGTGCACGTGTGCCTGCGTGTGTGCGTGAGTGTGTGTGTGTGTGCGTGTGTGTGTGCGTGCGTGCGATTGTGTGTGTGTGCACGCGTGCGTGCGAGTGTGTGTGTGTGCACGTGTATGCGCGCGAGTGTGCGTGCGTGTGTGTGTGAGTGTGTGTGTTTGTGCGTGCGAGTGTGTGTGTGTGGGGAGCGGTAGTGTAGCGTTTAGCGCTACGATGCGCTACGAACCCGGCGACCCGAGTTCGATTCCCGCTCGTGGCTACCAACACCGGTGACGATTATCTGAACCGGTCATGGGCCTCCCCTAAGTCGCCTCAGCCTCAAATGAGTAGCTGGTGTAGCGGTGTGTAGTTAACATCGCCACTGGGGAGATGAAGGCGGCCGGGCGTGGTGCTGGCCACCCACCCCCTCGTGTGCCGTGCCGGCCTTCATAGGTGCTCGCTAACAGCACTTGCCCCAAACAGTTTATTAAGGTTATACGGGGAATCTTTGTATTTTTTTGGCGTGTTTCTGCGTGTTTTTAAATCCTTTATATTAAGTTCACTTGCTTGCTTGCGCGCCTACGACCGTGCAAATCTTTCGGTCGTTTTTTAACCCACTTCCCGTGATCCAATCGAGCTGACATTTTGCACACAGACTCGTTGTGCGTGACAATGCATTTTCGTGAAAAAAATGTTCCAAAATTTTCCACTTTTTAGGAATTTTTTTAAAAAAATATTTAATTTAAAATACCAATGTGATCAAACTGAAACTCTTACTCAAGAAAAACAGAAATGAATAATAAAATAAAACCGATGCCACGCATATAAAGGATTTATAGTGAAAAACTTTGTTTTTACGGGTTAATTTTTTACGCTGGCGCCGCAGGTGACGGCCGCCTACTTTGAGCTGCTGGGCACCCAGGCAGCAGCGCTGCCCGCCCGCTACCGGGCCCTGCACGAGGGCACCGACGCCTACGTGGCTGGCGCGCAGTACGCGGCGTTCGCACGCCGCCTCGCCGAACGGGCGCAGTCGCCCCCCGCCACCACGCGGTCAGTGGCCCGCCACCCCCCATCACCATTACCACCACTACCCACTCACTACCACTAACACCCACCATCACCACCCATCACCATCACCCCCCCATCACCATTACCACCACTACCCACTCACTACCACTAACACCCACCATCACCACCCATCACCATCACCACCCATCACCATTACCACCACTACCCACTCACTACCACTAACACCCACCATCACCACCCATCACCATCACCACCCATCACCATTACCACCACTACCCACTCACTACCACTAACACCCACCATCACCACCCATCACCATTACCACCACTACCCACTCACTACCACTAACACCCACCATCACCACCCATCACCATTACCACCACTACCCACTCACTACCACTAACACCCACCATCACCACCCATCACCATTACCACCACTACCCACTCACTACCACTAACACCCACCATCACCACCCATCACCATCACCACCCATCACCATCACCACCACTACCCACTCACTACCACTAACACCCACCATCACCATCACCACCCATCACCATTACCACCACTACCCACTCACTACTACTAACACCCACCATCACCATTACCCACCCATCAGCATCACCATCACCCACCATCACCATCACCCACCATCACCATTACCCACCATCACCATTACCCACCCATCACCATCACCATCACCCACCATCACCATCACCCACCATCACCATCACCCACCATCACCATTACCCACCATCACCATTACCCACCCATCACCATCACCCACCATCACCATCACCCACCATCACCATTACCCACCATCACCATTACCCACCCATCACCATCACCATCACCCACCATCACCATTACCCACCCATCACCATCACCCACCCACCATCACCCACCATCAGCATCACCATCACCCACCATCACCATCACCCACCATCACCATCACCCACCATCACCATTACCCACCATCACCATTACCCACCCATCACCATCACCATCACCCACCATCACCATTACCCACCCATCACCATCACCATCACCCACCATCACCATTACCCACCCATCACCATCACCATTACCCACCCACCATCACCCACCATCACCATCACCCACCCATCACCATTACCGCCATTACCGCCATTACCACTAACACCCACCATCACCCACCAATCACCACCCATCACCATTACCCACTCACTACCACTACCACCCATCATCACCACCCACCCACTACCACCGCCACCCACCATCACCCACCAATCACCACCCATCACCATTACCGCCATTACCCACTCACTACCACTACCCACCCATCATCACTACCACCACCCACCACCACCCACCCACTACCACCGCCACTCACCATCAACCACCATCAGCACCACCCACCCACCCACTACCAGCAATCACTATTACCACCACCACCACCCATCCACCAACCACCACCACCCATCCACTACCACCAACCACCACCTTGACTACAACCACCACCCACTACCACCCACCACCACGCACTACTACCCACTACCACCCACGGCCACCTCCACCACCACCCTCCCCCACTACCACGACCACCACCCCTCTAATATCCACGAAGATCTGACATTATATGTCGGCAAACACAGACCCATAGAATTGCACAGAGACCCATAGACTTACATAGAGACCTATAGCCATAGACAGAGACCCATGGACTTACACAGAGACCCATGGACTTACACAGAGATACATGGACTTACATACAGAGACATACACTTACACAGAGACCCATGGACTTACACAGAGACCCATGGACTTACACAGAGACCCATGGACTTACACAGAGACCCATGGACTTACACAGAGACCCATGGACTTACACAGAGACCCATGGACTTACACACAGAGACCCATGGACTTACACAGAGACCTATGGACTTACACAGAGACCCATGGACTTACTTACAGAGACATACACTTACACACAGAGCCATAGACTTACACTTACTGTCCTGGGCCTCTCCGAGGTCGACTCGGCCTCAAATGAGTACCTGGTGCGGTGTGTAGTAAACATCGCCACTGGGGAGACAAAGGCGGCCGGGCGTGGTGATGGCCACCCACCCCCTCGTGTGCCGTTCCGGCCTTCATAGGCGCTCGCTAACATCACTTGACCCAACAGTCTGCGAAGGCTACGTGGGGGATCTTTGTCTTTATGTGCGTGCGTGCGTGTGGGCGTGCGCGTGTGCGTGTGTGTGTGTCTGTGTTTGCGTGTGTGTGCGCGTGCGTGTGCGTGCGTGGGTGTGTGTGCGTGTGCGCGCGTGTGTGTGTGTGCGTGCGTGTGTGCGTGTGTATGCGTGCGTGTGTGTGTGTGCGTACGTGTGTGTGCATGTGTGCGTGTGTGTGTGTGTTTGCGTGTGTGTGCGCGTGCGTGTGCGTGCGTGGGTGTGTGTGTGTGCGCGTGTGTGTGCGTGTGTGTGTGCGTGCGTGTGTGTGTGCGTGCGTGTGTGTGTGTGTGTGCGTGTGGTGTGTGTGTGTGTGCGTGCGTGTGTGTGTGTGCGTACGTGTGTGTGTGTGCGTGTGTGTGTGTGCGTGTGTGTGTGTGCGTGTGTGTGTGCGCGTGTGTGTGCGTGTGTGTGTGTGCGTGTGTGTGCGTGTGTGCGTGTGTGTGCGTGTGCGTGCGCGCGTGTGCGCGTGTGTGCGTGTGTGTGTGTCCAGGGAGCGTAAGCTGGGCCGTGAGGACTCTGGCAGCTCGGAGCAGTGCTCCGTCGCTTCTCCTCCTCCCCGTGGCGACTCCAAGGGCTCGCTCAAGCTCAACGGCAAGGGTGAGCCACGGGGTGGGGGGGGGGCGGTGGGGGGCACAGTGGGGGGCAGGGTGTGCGTTTGTGGGGTGCGTGGCGCCGTAGGTGTGCGTTGCCGAGCGTGTTGACGCGGTGAGTTGCGTGCGTCGCGTCTGTTGCTGCGGCGGCTTCGCAAGCGGTGGGCGTCGGTAGCGGCGCCCGCATGTGGTGTACTCACGGTGGTGGTGCGGTGGTGGTGTGGTGTGGTGCGGTGGTGGTGTGGTGTGTGGCGGTGGTGTGGTGTGGTGGTGGTGTGGTGTGCAGGCGAGGCGTCACGGGGCAGGAGTTGGCTGGTGGGCGGGGTGAGTGACACGGACAGCGGCAGCGGCAGCAGCGAGTCGCGCTCACTCGACTCACCCTCCGCCAGCCCCGGTAGGTGGCACCGGCGGCCACAACCACCACAACTACACCACCACTACACCACCACTACACCACCACCACTACACCACTACTACTACACCACCACCACACTACCACCACAACCACCACCACTACACCACAACTACACCACCACCACTACACCACCACTACTACGCCACCACTACACCACCACTACTACACCACCACTACACCACCACCACCACCATTACACCACCACTACTACACCACCACCACTACACCACCACTACACCACCACTACCCCACTACTACACCACCACCACTACAAACACCACCACCTGCTCCATGAGTGACGCGCAGAGGCATGGACGGTTGGTGCTACCACCACCGCAACCACCACAATTACTACCATCACCACCACCACCACACCACAACCACCACAATTACTACCACCATCACCACCACCACACCACCACAACCACCACAATTACTACCATCACCACCACCACCACCACCACCGCAACCACCACAATTACTACCATCATCACCACCACCACAACCACCACAATTACTACCACCATCACCACCACCACCATCACCGCAACCACCACCACAACCACCACAATTACTACCATCATCACCACCACCACCACAACCACCACAATTACTACCATCACCACCATCACCACACCACAACCACCACAATTACTACCACCATCACCCCCACCACCATCACCGCAACCACCACCACAACCACCACAATTACTACCACCATCACCACCACCACCATCACCGCAACCACCACCACCACAACCACCACAATTACTACCACCACCACCACAACCACCACAACCACCACAATTACTACCATCATCACCACCACCACAACCACCACAATTACTACCACCATCACCACCACCACCATCACCGCAACCACCACAATTACTACCACCATCACCACCACCACCATCACCGCAACCACCACCACCGCAACCACCACAATTACTACCATCATCACCACCACAACCACCACAATTACTACCATCATCACCACCACCACCACAATTACCACCATCATCACCACCACTACCACCGCAACCACCGCAATTACTACCATCACCACCGCAACCACTACAATTACCACCATCATCACCACCACCACACCACAACCACCACAATTACCACCATCATCACCACCACTACCACCGCAACCACCACAATTACTACCATCACCACCACCACCGCAACCACCACAATTACTACCATCACCACCACCACCGCAACCACCACAATTACCACCATTATCACCACCACCACCGCAACCACCACAATTACTACCATCATCACCACCACCACCACCACAACCACCACAATTACCACCATCACCACCACCACCGCAACCACCACAATTGCCACCATCATCACCACCACCACCGCAACCACCACAATTACTACCATCATCACCACCACCACCACCACACTGCCACATCACACCATATCCACACCGCACCATGCCACCACACCACACCGATCCACCTCGTGGTGCCACCTTGCCAGCCTTCATCGGCGCTGCTGCTGTTGCTGCTACTCGCTAACAGCCCTTGCCCCAGCAGCTTGTTAACAGCTACACGGGGGGAAGGAACCTTTGTCTTTGTGTGTGTATATACGGAGAGCGGTGGCGCAGTGGTTGCACACCCGGTGACCCGAGTTCGAATTCCTGTTCACGGCAAGCAGCATATCAGTGACGGCGAATAATTAAACGAAGCTAAACTTGTTTTAATTTTTTAAATCCTTTATATTAAGTTCACTTGCTTGCTTGCTTGCGCGCTTACGACCGTGCAAATCTTTCGGTCGTTTTTAAACCCACTTCCCGTGATCCAATCGAGCTGACATTTGGCACACAGACTCGTTGTGCGTGACAATTAATTTTCGTGAAATTTTTTTTCCATAACTTTACACTTTTTAGGACAAAAAAATTATATTTAATTACGAATTGCTTAATGGTGGCATGCAATCATCTGACCCATAGGTGGCAGCGATCTCAAGCCAGAGGACGAGAGGACTCTAGCCGCCACGCATATAAAGGATTTATAGTGAAAAAGTTTGTTTTTACGGGTTATACTTGTTACCAGGTAAGGCACCGCTGAGATACGTAGCTTTTTTTTCAGAAGCGACCTGGAATCATGGGTTTAATTCTTAAACCCAAACGCGGAGGGAAAAAAATGAACCCGTAAAAACAAAGTTTTTCACTATAAATCCTTTATATGCGTGGCGGCTAGAGTCCTCTCGTCCTGTGGCTTGAGATGGCTGCCACCTATGGGTCAGATGATTGCCTGCCACCATTAAGCAATTGGTAATTAAATATAAAAAAAATTCCTAAAAAGTGTAAAATTTAGCAAATTCTTTCTTCACGAAAATAAATTGTCACGCACAACGAGTCTGTGTGCAAAATGTCAGCTCGATTGGATCACGGGAAGTAGGTTAAAAAACGACCGAAAGATTTGCACGGTCGTAAGCGCGCAAGCAAGCAAGCAAGATAACTTAATATAAAGGATTTAAATAAAAAACGACCGAAAGATTTGCACGGTCGTAAGCGCGCAAGCAAGCAAGCAAGCGAACTTAATATAAAGGATTTAAAAACAGGAAGTCCCGGAGAAAAATCCACACCACCACGGGGAGAACCATGCAAACTCCAAATATACAGCAGCAGGCCTCAGGGTCGGGATTGAACCCACGACCTCCTGTATACCAGGCGAGGTAGTTAACATCTCCCAGCCACACGCAAACTCCAAATATACAGCAGGCGTCGGGGTCGGGATTGAACCCACGACCTCCTGTGTACCAGGCGAGGTAGTTAACATCTCCTAGCCACACATGCAAACTCCAAATATACAGCAGGCGTCAGGGTCGGGATTGAACCCACGACCTCCTGTATACCAGGCGAGGTAGTTAACATCTCCCAGCCACACGCAAACTCCAAATACAGCAGCAGGCGTCAGGGTCGGGATTGAACCCACGACCTCCTGTATACCAGGCGAGGTAGTTAACATCTCCTAGCCACATGCAAACTCCAAATACAGCAGCAGGCGTCAGGGTCGGGATTGAACCCACGACCTCCTGTATACCAGGCGAGGTAGTTAACATCTCCTAGCCACACGCAAATTCCAAATATACAGCAGGCGTCAGGGTCGGGATTGAACCCACAACCTCCTGTGTACCAGGCGAGGTAGTTAACATCTCCTAGCCACACGCAAACTCCAAATGTCCAGCAGCAGGCGTCAGGGTCGGGATTGAACCCACGACCTCCTGTGTACCAGGCGAGGTAGTTAACATCTCCTAGCTACACGAATCAAAACCCGTTTGTGACCTCTGCCATAGAATGATCCCCCTCTCATCCCCCCCCCCCCACCGTGTGACCTCTGCACCCAGGTGACTTCATGCGCAAGCTGCCCCGTACCCCGTCCACAGGCACCATGTCCTCCGTGGACGATCTCGACGACACCGACCCGTGCAGCCCTGCCGACGGGGGTAGCGCACGCTCGCCCACACTGCTCGCCCACGCTGCTCGCCCACGCTGCTCGCCCTCTCTCCGAGTCGTCCCCTGTCTGTGCGAGTAATCTTCCCCGCGCCTCCTATCCCCTCTCCGAGTCGTCCTCTCTTTCTCAGAGTCGTCCATCCCCCTCCCCCTCTCTCCACGAGAGTGAGCGGCGCAGCGGCATGAGCTGACGTCACCGTCACTCCCAATCACCGTCACCGTCACTACCATCCCCGTCACCACCATCACCGCCACCGTCACTACCATCACCGTTAGCGTCACTCCCATCACTGTCACTACCATCACAGTCACCACCGTTGCCATCACCATAACCGTCACCATCACTACCATCCCCATCACCGTCACTACCATCACCGTCACCACCATCCCCATCACCGTCACTACCATCACCGTTAGCGTCACTACCGTCACAGTCACCACCGTTATCATCACCATCACCATCACTACCATCCCCATCACCATCACTACCATCACCGTTAGCGTCACTCCCATCACCGTCACTACCATCGCAGTCGCCACCGTTGCCATCACCATCCCCATCACCGTCACTACCATCCCCATCACCGTCACTACCATCACAGTCACCACCGTTATCATCACCATTACCGTTACCATCACTATTGTCAACTACTACCATCACAGTCACCACCGTCACCATCACTACCATCACAGTCACCACCGTCACCGTCACTACAATCCCCATCACCGTCGCTACCGTCGTCACCACCATCACCATCACTACCATCACCGTCACCGTCACGACCGTCACAGTCACCACCGTCACCATCACCGCCACCGTCACTACCATCCCCATCACGGTCACTACCGTCGTCACTACCATCCCCATCACCGTCACCGTCACTACCATCACGGTCACTACCGTCGTCACTACCACCGTCACTACCGTCACCACCACCGTCACTACCGTCGTCACCACCGTCACTACCGTCGTCACCACCGTCACTACCGTCGTCACCACCACCGTCACTACCGTCGTACACCACCACCGTCACTACCGTCGTCACCACCACCGTCACTACCGTCGTCACCACCGTCACTACCGTCGTCACCACCGTCACTACCGTCGTCACTACCACCGTCACTACCGTCACCACCACCGTCACTACCGTCACCACCACCGTCACTACCGTCGTCACCACCACCGTCACTACCGTCGTCACCACCGTCACTACCGTCGTCACTACCACCGTCACTACCGTCACCACCACCGTCACTACCGTCACCACCACCGTCACTACCGTCACCACCACCGTCACTACCGTCGTCACCACCACCGTCACTACCGTCGTCACCACCACCGTCACTACCGTCGTCACCACCACCGTCACTACCGTCGTCACTACCACCGTCACTACCGTCACCACCACCATCACTACCGTCGTCACTACCACCGTCACTACCGTCACCACCACCGTCACTACCACCGTCACTACCGTCACTACCGTCAACACCACCGTCACTACCGTCACCACCACCGTCACTACCGTCGTCACCACCGCCGTCACTACCGTCGTCACCACCGTCACTACCGTCGTTACTACCACCGTCACTACCGTCAACACCACCGTCACTACCATCGTCACCACCGTCACTACCGTCACCACCACCGTCACTACCGTCGTCACTACCACCGTCACTACCGTCCCCGTGCGTGCGTCTCGCAGACGGGTCGGCGGTGGGGGCCGCGTCGTCCGGAGTGGGGGGCCCCGAGGGGCCATGCTCCTCCCCCCCCTCCTCCTCCTCCTCCTCGTCGTCCTTCACCAAGGTGGTGCTGTCGGAGGCGGCGCGCTCCCACCGGCTGCGCAAGCTGCGAGCGCCGTCGCGTTGCCGCGCCTGCGACACGTTCATCTACTTTCAGGGCGCCGAGTGCCAGGAGGTGGGCGCACCATCCCCCCCCCCCCCCCCGTGTCTCTGTCTCTCTCGGTGTCTCTGTCGTGTGTGTCTCTGTCGGTGTGTCTCTCTGTGTCTCTGTCTGTCTCTCTGTCTCTCTGTCTCTGTCTGTCTTCTGTGTCTCTGTCTGTCTCTCTGTCTCTCTGTGTCTGTCTCTCTGTGTCTTTGTCTGTCTCTCTGTCTCTCTTGGTGCTCTGTCTCTGTCTGTCTCTCTCTGTCTGTGTCTCTCTATCTGTCTGTCTCTGTTTTTCTATCCGTGTCTGTCTGTCTCTGTCTGTCTCTCTCTCTCTGTGTCTCTGTGTCTCTGTGTCTCTGTCGTCTGTGTCTCTGTCTGTGTCTGTCTGTGTCTCTGTCTGTCTCTGTCTGTCTGTGTCTGTCTGTCTGTCTCTGTCTGTCTATGTCTGTCTGTCTGTCTCTGTCTGTCTGTGTCTCTCTATCTGTCTGTCTCTCTCTCTCTGTGTCTCTGTCTGTCTCTCTGTTGTCTCTGTCTGCCTTTATCTGTCTGTGTCTCTCTCTTTGTCTCTCTGCGTCTCTGTCTGAGTTGTCCTCTCTCTCTCTGTCTCCGAGTCGTTCTCCCCCTATCCCTGAGTCGTTCTCTCTCTGAGACGTCCAGTCTCCGAGTCATCCTTCCTCTCTCTCTCTGAGTCGTCCTCTCACCCTCTCGCCGTTGTGCCACCCGCCTGCCCGCCCAGTGCCTGCTGGCGTGCCACAAGAAGTGCCTCGAGTCCCTGGCGGTGCGCTGCTGCTCGCGCGAGCGCCGCACCGCTCCGCCCTCCCCGCTGACGTCACCGTCGCCGGCGTCACGGCGTCACCGTCGGCGTCAGCGGCAGCGTCACCGGCGCCGCACGGCGGTGACGTCGCGAGCGGCGTGCCGGAGCCGGTTCGGCTGTGCGTGAGCGAGATCGAGCGGCGAGCCATGACGCTCAAGGTGGGGGCGGTGACCGTCGGTGTACACTCGGTGGTGGGGTGGTGGGGGGGGGGCGGGGTATGGCTGGTGGGGGGTATGGCTGGTAGGGGGGGGGTGTGGGGGTGGTTGGCTGGTGGGGGGGTGTCTGGTGGGGGGGTGTCGGGGGTATGGCTGGTGGGGGGGGGGGGGTGTGGGGAGTGTGTCTGGTGGGGGGGTATGGCTGGTGGGGGGGGGAGGCGGGGGGGTATGGCTGGTGGGGGGGGGTGTGGGGGGGTAGGTTTGTGGTGGGGGGGTGGGGTGGTGGTGGGGGGGGGGGGCATGTCCGGCGTGACACCCTCAGCACAGGACGCATTCACCACCCGCCTAACCTCACCACCACACACCGTGACACACTCACCACTCACCACTCACCAGACCATTCACCAAAAACACTCACCACTCACCGGACAAACTCGCCACTCACCACACACTGCCACTCACCAAACCACTCACCAGACACGCCACTCACCCGCCGCCGTGCGTGCAGGGGATCTACCGAGTGAACGACAC